GAAGAATATAAACAGATAGCAAGGAATTGGAGGAATGGTCTCAGGAAGGCTAAAGCAGGAAATGAACTGAGACTAGCATGGGATCCTAAAAGTAACAAGAATGCCTTCTCCACATATGTCCAAAACAAAAAGACATATGAAAGAGAAAGGTGTCCAGCTACTCAAAGTCAATGGCCAAGTGATAATGGACAAGAAAAAGGTGAAGGTGCTCAATTCCTCCTTTGCCTCAGTCTACTCCCACAAAAATGAGCTACAACCTGCACACTGAAGAGGATGTACAAGCTGAATGTTTGGGATGGTAAGTCAAGATCTACACATAAATGGTCAAGGAATATGTAAATAGAAAAATGAGTTCAAATCTCCAGAGCCTGATGAACTCCGTCCCAGAATCATAAAAGAGCTAGAGGAGAAACTTTGAGAACCACTAGCTATTACCTTTGATAAATCATGGAAAACAGGAGGAGCTGCAGATGACTGGAGAAGGGTTGATGTCCCCATCTTCAAGGAATGATGAAAGACAAGCTTGAGAACTACAGACCGGTTAATCTGACATCAATCCTTGAAAATATTCTGGAACAAACTATTTAAAATATCCATCTGCAAGCACTCATAGAAAATGCAGTAATTAATAAAAGCAAACATGGATTTATCAAGAACATATCTTAGACTAATCTAATCATATTTTTGACTGGATAACCTCCAAAATTGAGAAAGGAAACGTGGACAAAATCTATACTGACTTTAGCCCTTTTGAACAGAGTGCCTCCTGACATCCTGATTTAAAAGAAAAAGAAAAAAGAAAAACTATGAAAAAGTGGACTAGGTAGAAAAATGATTGGGTAGACCCAAAGTTGGCTACTAAATCAGACACAAAGAGTGCTTATTAATGACAGCTTCTCACACTGGAGGGAGGCAACCAGCAGGGAGTCTCAGTGCTCAGTCCTGGACCTGGTACTCTTCAACAACTTTATTAATGAATTGGATAAGGAAGTTCAAGGCAGGATAATCAAATTTGCAGATGATACAAAACTGGGTGGAATACTGAACACCCTGGAAAAGAGCATGAAGATCCAAGGTGATCCTGACGAACTTAAAACTGGGCTGAAAGCAACAGAATGAGATTCAATGGGGACAAGAGCCAAGTCCTCCACCTAGGAAAAAGAAACCAACTGTATCAATACAAGGCTGGGGAACACATGGTTCAACAGAACTGAAAAAGAAAAAGACATTGGGGACAACATGCTAAATATGAGTCAACAATGTAATGCAGTTGCAAAAAGGGCAAATGCTATTTCAGGATATATTAACAAGTATTTCTTCCAAATCATGAGAATTAGAAGTTCCTCTGTACTCATCACTGGTCAGATCTCATCTGGAATACCGTGTCCAGTTCTGGGCACCAAGATTTAAGGATGCAGAAAAATTAGAAAGGGTTCAAAGGAAGGCAGCAAGAATGATCCAGGGTTTGGAAACACTGCCCTATGAAGAGAGACTGAGAGAACTGGGTATATTCAGCCTTGAAAAGAGAAGGCTGAAGGGATCATGAGATCACTCTGAGTTCCTGAAAGGTTGTCACAAAGAGGAAGGACAAGTTCTCTAATTCTTCCAAGAGTGCAGGATGCAGAATAATCAATTGACATTGTGGCAAACCATTGTCTGACTGTAGTTTGTTTCCAACTTTTTTCACTCTGAAATTCTTTACACGAGCCATTCAAGTGAACACTCCTGATCCATCACTCTTGCACATTTCATTGAGGCCTTTCAGGATGTCATCTGTCTCCAGGGGCACTCCCAAATTTTCTAGATATTTTCACATATTCTTTCAGAGCAAGGAGAGTCAGGTAGTTTCCTAACTGGTGCTAGGCAGGCAGTGTGGGAAGCTGCAAAGCTAAGTCCCCCTATAATTCTGAAAATCATTGTGGTTAAGGCTTCTTCTTGCCCAGCCTCAAGGGATTTTCCAGATTAGTGACATCAATAGCACAGAGAAAGGGTGATGTCTTGCATCCAGGTGCAGAAGGAGTGGTGCATAAGTGGCTCCTTGACTATCGAGTGCTTCTGAACAGGCTTACAGCAACGGAGAAGGGTGTGTGGACATAAGCTTTATTTCCTTGCATCCTCTTAAGTGTATTGCCTTGACTGGCTGGGCTCCAGGTCTATTCAGAAAGCTGCCTTTGTCCTTCCATGTAGATTTGCCACTTCTAATCATTCTTCAGCTTAATAGAAAAGAGCAGCCGCAGGCATGGGGGTTCCACTCCATGTCCCCAGAATGATTCTGCTCCTGCTGCTACTGCCCCAGGCCACCTGTGGGACACCCACAGCCAAATGCACCTTGGCTCTGGAAAGGGATGAGATAGATCCACTGAATCATTACCGCCCAGGAGACCACCTCATTGCTGGGTTCTTCACTGAGACAGAAGCTTCTTTTAAACCATACCTGTTCCACAAAGCTCCTCTTATCAGATCTCTTGAGTAAGTCACAATGTGCATGTTGTTGTTAATGTTATGGCTGCAAATGAAGGAGACAGTTCTACTTGGTGTGTTTCCCGAGGCCAGGGTAGTACTTCAGATGAGGAAGTGCAGCATTGAGAAGTGAGGTCTGTGGACACAGATATGGCGGATGAGACGGAGCTTCTCTCAAGGCTGCAGTGACATAAGAGAGGAGCAAGAGGAGCCTGGTCCAGGCTTTGACCCCATAATGAAGCATCAGGAGAGAAGGGCTAGCCAACTAGGAGGCCTGCATAGGTCCTTCTCCAGGAGCACACACTTCCTAGGGTGCAGCCAGGATTCCTGGAAAGGAAGGCTCTCAGAAAATGTTTCTATTTTGGGTTAAAGAAACCGCTCTGTGCATGCTCAGAAACTCTGCCTTTGTTGACTATTAGTTTGGTCACTGTGCATTGGAAAAATAGTCCGTTGGAAAGAGGAAAGCCCGCTTCCAAATTTTACTCCACTTGCTAATGATTTCATGAGCTCCAGTCATCTGAAATACCAGGCAATGTCTCTGTTATCTCATAACTGGCAAGGGATCCTCCACTTCAAGAATGCATCTTTATGAAATTAACGCTTGCAGTCCCAGAAGTTGTAGCTGACCTGGCACTTTCTGATTTGCTAGGTGCTTTGAAATATTAGAAACCAAAAGGCAATGCTAAGCTAAAGCCCTTGTTGATGTATAAGAAAGCACATACTGTAGCAACTTTCCTTTCCATTCCATTGACAGCAACCTCAGGAAGGTCCACACTGCCTGTGAGTGAATGGTGGACATTCCTTCATTGGTCCACTTGCTTGGCTTGATGCCAATTCACTGGGTCAGTGAACTCACACACACTGTCCCCAGACCTTCCCTAGAACTCAAGGCAGTTTGCCTCACAGCAGCTGCTGACAGATCATACGTGCTTCCCTTGACATTCCTATGCCACATTTTGGTCCATCTCTATTTCCATCTAATTCATACTCTGCAACCGAGCTCTGTCACTAGGCATGCTGTGTTCTGAGAAAACAGGCTGCATCTCTATGGGGGTGGACTTGATGACCAGCCAAGTCCCTTCCAGTTCTATCTATGCATGTGGGTGACCCTGGATGCCTGCTGGAAGGAAAGGTGACATAGGAATGGGGCTTCACTTGCAAGAACTCCATGCAAAGAGGCAAACCTGACCCTGAATTCCAGCTCTCTGTCTCATACACCTTTGAGGTGCTCCTGATGCTGGAAATACTCACAGCACAGAACATAATACTACATGCCTACTGCCAGAGACCACCACTTCCCTCCCAGGGCCACATTTGCCCAGTATTTTGGTGCTCCAACGAACCTGAAAAACCACTACAGCTTATTAAAACAAGAGCTTTGACATATGCACTACATCGTTGGTGTCAGAATCCCAGAATCTCAATTTGAGAAGAGGAAATAAAACTTGGGATTGTAGGAAAGATCAATTGCTATGAACCTCCGTGTCTTTATTGTCTATCCCAGGTTCCCGCGGTTGACTCACGATAATGTATTACCGGGCTAGCAGAGGTGAACTTGCTGCAAAGCTTCAATACCACTACAGGGCATTTATAGGTACACAGGTACAGGGCAATCATGACAGAATGCAGAGATTACAATAAGATTCCGAGGTCATCACATACAGAACAGATAAAGAAATGTCAGTCAATCACACTGTAACAATGAGATCACAATATTTCTAATTGTCTCCATTGACACTCTAGTTGAGCAACTTGAACCCATCTCCAGGTCTGCCCAGACATGCAAATTCAAGCTACTAGAAACTATTCATGATAAGCTCAGACCCTTATCTCAGCTCTAAACATTCTGCATGATCAGGGCACATGAAGCCCTCTGGGCTATCAAAAGATTATTGTAAACTGAATTCCAACAATGACTATATATAATGTATATTTGGGCTAAAATGCCTACGGTATCCTACAGCTAAAGGTGAGAGAAAGGAGTGGGGGAATGCCATTTTAAACAGTGACAGCTTGCTTTTGAGAAGGAAGACAGGATTTGATCCCACAATGCAAAGGCACACAGGAGTAATGCTTTTCAGACAGGATTTACCCAAATTTTCCCAACAATGGCCAACATGGTCTTTCTGCCATATGAAGCAAGAGACAATCATGCTGCATTTGACCAAAGGTCCATCTTGTCCACAATTCTGCTCACACAGTGACTGACCAGATGCCTGTGGGAACCCCTCAATATGCCACAGTACCTTCAGCCCATGTTCAGCTGTTTAGTCACCTCCACTTTGCTGGTTATAAATGTGTTTGAGGTCAGTACTCTTACACTTGCCAGCAGCACAAGAACCTTGTCAGCAAAGCTGGGAGGTACAGTCCCAAACAACTGGAGTCTGCAGGCTGGAGAAAGGCACCTTAGAAAAATGTCATCTTTAGTGGGCCTCCATCCAAACCAGTTTACTCCAATATTACTCCCTCAGTGTGAAAGCACATACATAATGGCTTTGGCCTCCAGAATAAGCCTATCTCCACCACACTCACTGATGGACATGTTGCAATTTCTTGAAAGGAAGGGCTATACTAAGTCCTGGAAGACCCTCTCCGTCCTCTTTGCCATTCAGAAGATCAACTGGAACCCCTGGATCTTGCCCAACCACACTCTGGGCTACAACACCTATGATGATTATCTCAATGGAAGAGTGACTTCAGAGTCCCTGCTGGACCTGCTCTCCCCTGGGCAGGCCAATGTTCCAAACTACAAGTGCGGCAGGAAGAAGCACCCAATGGTTGTTCTGGAAGGGTCAGACACTGAAAACTCCATCCACATTTCAAGCATGATGGGCACCTACAAAATCCCACAGGTGGGCACATGCGAGCTGTTTAGGACGTTTCAATCAAGTTAAACTTCATTTTAGGTTCTCACCAGAGAGATCAAACCTTTCTGTGGGGAAATTCAACAAGAGCTTCTCCTTGCAGACTAACAGGAAACATGGACATAGACATCCAGGTTCACAGTTAGAGGTTCGTTGCATCCCTCCCACCCTTTTCATGGGCATTGCTAAAAGAAAATTCTGAACCTATGCATACCATTACCTATAGATCACAGAACAAGGGGTTAATCAGGGACACCATGTGGGTTCAGCATGCTCGGAGGAGTAAAGGATGGGCTCCTACTCTGTGTTCAGGATCCAATCCCCTAGGATGTTTCAACAGGAGGCATTTATGAAATGCTTGTGATCTCTCACTGATGGAAGACTGTCAGTGGACATCGTCCTTCAGGTTGCCTAGAATGTGAAATAAGGTACGAAATTTCAAACAGGAAGAAAAACGTTGTGAGGTTGCAAATCTGTTACAGTGCAATTATGACACCATGCTATCATGTGATAGCTTAATCCAATATATCAAAGGCAAAGGATGCATTTTCCTGCATGGAATGGAAATGAAAGGAGATGCTTCCAAAAATCAGCAGGTCAAACCCTTCATGAAGGGGATTTTGGACCAGGACAATTGCTGTCAATTAACACTAATTTTAATGTTATTTCATTTTAGAGCTTGATGACTTTACCCAATGTGAAATTAAGAATATTTGCTGCATGGTGCAGAAGTTTGGCCCCTAGAATTACCAGGAAGAAATATTACATGAAGTGTGGAATTTTGTGAAACAAATCAGATCAACAGTCTCTTTTTTCCTCTCCCAGGTGACTTATGCATTTGTTTCTGAGGTACTGAATGACAACGTTCAATTCCCATTTTTTTACCGGATGGTCCCCAAAGAAGGAGTCCAATACCCAGCAATTGTCAAACTGCTGCAGCATTTCAGATGGACAATGGTTGGAATTGTTGCTCCAAATAATGACTCTGGAGAGAGATTGATGAAGACGTTGTCACCTGAGCTCACCAGGAACGGTGTTTGTGTGGTCTTTTCACAGAGCATCTCAGCCCTGAGCAGCTACAGCATTCGGCAAGCTTTCCTCCACAAGTGGGGACAAGTCAATGTCCTTGTTTATTATGCAGAGACTCGTTCCTTCATAAATGCAATTTACATAGTTCAACGATTTGTTGAACGTCTTGTGAGACCCAGTGTGGGGAAAGTGTGGATCACAACAGCTTTGTGGGACCTCACCTTGGAGCTGACATACAATAATCTCTCCTTCCAACACATTCATGGTCTGTTTTCCTTCTTTCTCCAGACAAAGAGAAGGGCAACATATGAACATTTTGAACATCTTTTGCTTTCCATTGAGCAGTTTTGGGGGAAAGCATTTAAGTGCTCCTATTCAAAGCACAAGTTGTCTCTCAAAGGCTGGACAAGATGCCGAGAGAAGGATGAACTGGAGGCCCTACCCCAAAATATGATAGACAAAATTGTGTCTCTGGACAGTTACCTTATTTACAACAGCATCCAGGCATTGGCCAGGGCCTTACAAATGTTTTATTCATCCAGATCCAAAAAGAACATGGAAGGTACTCAAAGGCCACAGCCATGGCAGGTATTCTTTTTCAGAACAAATATGAACAAAACAGCAGTGTAGAATTCCACATTTTTGTATTTTTTATTTTACAATTGGACTACAATAAGCAGAAAACCTTGATGCTAAAGCACTGTTCTTGCAAACAATAGGTCAAAATAGTGGCAACCTTCCCAGTGTTGGTCTCCATTTTGGCCCCGTGCCATGGCCTGTGAGAATAAAGCCCATCTATTCACTGCCCAACCACTGACTCACATCCTCCATGCCTGCACTAGCTGGTTCCCATGCTTCCCCACTGCAGTCAGCCATCCTGCTGGCTCTGCTTAATTCTGGCCACCTTTGCACTCTGCACTTTGGCTCCTGGACCTAGAAGAGTAAAGGGGGAAACGACCTACATGGCCACACAGTCCAACTCCTGCTTGGTGCATGACTCCGATTAAAGCATCACTGGCAGACAGCTGTCCAAATGTATCTTGAAGGCCTACACTGTAGCAGAGACCATAACCACACTTTGTATTGGGTTTGGTTACCCAGGTATATGGCAGTTGACAACAACAAGCTCCAGAGTTGTGGACCCAAACATCTGAGCATGAGCGCAGAACCTTGCCATGTAGTTGGGGGCTTGGCAGAGTTCATAGTTAACAGAGGTGGCAGATCTCTGGGTTCCAGGAATGTCAATTAGGATTTACTCACAGAAAAATGTGCAGAATTACAAGGGACCTGAATGCAATGACATGAAATGTGTGCCGTCAGATCCCATCAGGGTAAGACTAAGCAAAAATGGTGGAACAGGTTTCTATTTAATGGTTTCAGCTTCTCAAACTGTGAGAGCAGGTAAAACGGGTTTGAGGATGCAATCAGGTCCCCTTTTTATGCTGGGAGATACACATAACAACTGATTCAAACATGCAAAGGGTGAATCAGAGATATCTAAGGAGGGTTCTGCTTCTTTTTGCCTTTCCAGCTTCACCCTTTCCTGAGAAGCCCACAGTTTTACAATAATTCCATGGACGGAGTATTTCTGGATAAGAAGGGAGAAATGGCAGCCAACTTGGACGTCATGAATTGGGTGGTATTTCCCAATAGGTCTGTCACAGGAGTGAAATTTGGGAGCCTAGAAAGAAACGGATCCTCAGGTCTCCAGTTCACCATTCACCAAGATGCCATTGTGTGGCTCTCCTGGCTGAACCAGGTGGGCAAGACCATTGTTTTCCTTCCCAGATGATCTTTCTGAAAATTCAGCATTACCAAAATAGCCACCAGGCCATTCGTGGGAATGCAGGTTTGCAGATCCACATATCAGTCTGGGAAACAGTGTTTGAGGTGGGAATGCATTTGGCTCCCCATCAGCTCCAGTAGCAATAATTGTTCTAGATTGGATTGAGAAGAGTGGGAATGTGGGCTTTGGAGAAGCACATATTGGGAAGATCTCAGTATGGGGAACAGTGCTCGAGGAAATCTGCATTTAGCTCCCCATCAGCTCCTATAGCAGAAATTGTTCTAGATTGGATTATGAAGAATGTAATGCCCCAGCTCTGTCCCAGCTGGACATCTGATAGATTACTTTCAAGCATAGGCCATGGGTTACTAGGGGCTCAAATTTCTGGTCTGTCTATATACTGCTTTCACGGTCAATGACACTTTGCACTAAAAGAGAGCAGGTTCTGGCTCCATTCTGCCACCATACTAAAATTGAACACAAAGAAAACAGCAGAAGAAAAAGAAGTAGAAACTCCAGAGGAGAGAAATGGGATGTGAGTTGTCCTTGTAGCAGTTTTGCAAATTTTGTTTAGTCACTAGTCTAAAGTCCTGTTGTGTCCCATCCAGATTTGAGTCTCCTTTGTGTGCAGAAACAACCCCAACACATTTGTGTTTCACATTGCATGTCCTTTTGCTCAGCCCCTGCCCCATACCAGGTGTGTGGAAGCCTGCCATCCTGGATTTGTCAAAGTAGTTCAGGAAGGGAAACTCATTTGCTGCTACGACTGTCATGCCTGTGCTGAAGGGACCATCTCCACTCAGGAAGGTGGGTGACCTGGAAGGAATGGTAGGCCCTGCAACGGAGAGAAAATATTTTCTGGGATACTGTGGGATCCACAAACCTGCCCAGCAGCAACTGGAGGATACTATGAGTGGTTAATGCAGTAGAAAGAAACTAAACAGGGCTGAGGGCTTGATGACGCTCTTGAATGAGGCCAGGAAGAAGGGCTAAAACCTGGGGCTCATTTTATTTCACACTGATGTGCTGCACCGTGGATATCCCGTACCTTTCTCCTGTTCCTGGAATAAAATCATATTTCTGCACATCAGGACCAAATATCAGTTATTTGGACAAGGCACAATAAGCTTCACTGTGACCTCCATGACAAAGTTTTTGCTGCCTGAGAAATGTACTTGAGTGGATATTAAAGAGCAAAGACGATTAAACATACAAATCAGGTGTTCTTCTTTGATTCCCAGATTCAGAACGTTGCACCAAGTGTCCAGAAGATCAGCATCCCAACATGCAGCGAGATCACTGTGTCCCGAAAAAAATTACCTTCTTATCGTATGAAGACCCTTTGGGGATCATTCTGGCATCCTTTGCCCTAATTCTGTCCTCAGCAACAGAATTTGTGTTAGGACTCTTCATAAAATTTGCAGAAACCCCTGTGGTCAGAGCCAACAACCAAGACCTTTCCTACATTCTCCTAGTTTCCCTCCAACTTTCTTTTTTGTCCTCCTTCCTATTCATTGGCCAGCCAAAGAAAGTGACCTGCCTCTTCCGACAAACGGCCTTCAGCATCATCTTTTCCGTTGCTGTCTCTTCGCTCTTAGCCAAAACCATCACTGTGGTGCTGGCCTTCCTTGCCACAAAGCCAGGGAACTGGGCAAGGAACTGGCTGGGGAAGACCTTGGCCAACTCCATTGTCATTTCCTGTGCCATTGTCCAGGTTCTCCTCTGCACTACGTGGCTGGGAATTTCTCCCCCTTTCCCTGACTCTGACATGCACTCTCAGGCTGGAAAGATCATCCTGCAGTGCAACGAAGGGTCTGTGGCCATGTTTTATGCTGCCCTCAGCTACATGGGCTTCCTGGCTTCTGTCTGCTTCACGGTGGCTTTCCTGGCCAGGAAGCTGCCTGGGGCCTTCAACGAGGCCAAGCTGATCACCTTCAGCATGCTGGTCTTCTGCAGTGTCTGGGTGTCCTTTGTGCCCACCTACCTGAGCACCAGGGGCAAGTACATGGTGGCCGTGCAGGTCTTCTCCATCTTGACCTCCAGTGCTGGGCTGCTGGGCTGCATCTTCCTGCCCAAGTGCTACATCATTGTCTTGAGGCCTGATCTGAATACAAAGGAGCATCTCATGATGAAAACAAAAGTATAAACCTTATTCCTTTTGTTACCACACATTCTGATGTTTCGCTACTTTTGGCAGAGTATTCTCTACTTGACAGGAGAGATTTCATTATGGTTCTAAAGAGAGTGTTCAATTCACCATTAACAATGCACAGAATAGCTTAAATGTTCATTTCCGTCTGGTTTTCTTCAGCCTTGTTCATCATCATAGAGTGATCAGATACTATCCAGAGTACTACAAAAGTAAAATTAAATTAGACAAGTTAAATAAGGATCATAAAAACTGAGTGTGCTGAGACCACACTACTACACCCACTCTGGGGTTGAGTCTGCAGTGAGTGTGGCTAGTTGCTGAAACTGGCCTGTGTGGATTGAATCCACCTGCTCCAACATGCCATGGCTTTTTCACAATGAACTCGCCACTCACAGCCCAACAACACATGATGCATTCAATGACCCATAATCAGTTATTGATGAATGAGGGCTGATAAAAGTAAGCATCCTCCACAACTAATTTTTAAACATAGAAATGTTTCTGTGGTACAGAAAGCACTGCAGGCCTTTAAGGATATTCTTTCTCACTACGAAGTGCAAAAGCCCTGTCTTTTTCTCTTTGATCAAATAAGACTGCTCAGGGTTCATACCACTGGCCCACTGAGTGATGGGAGGATGTATACATAGGCTACTGTGTTGCATTTTAATTTTGTCTTACTGTTGAACCATCTTGAGAATGTGTTAGCGGGCAGCCTAAAAATGTTTTGAAGAAATAAATGGAGTGTTCACAAAGGGGTTTGCCATGTAGCAGTTCATATCACAGGTTCAGAAAGCAGCACTGCTCACATAAATGCCACATGCACCCTGCAACCTGGACCCCATCTTTAACCTGGCGGGTCCCACTGACCTACCATATCCCCCCCACCCCTCCACAAATGTCATCTGCCTCAGCTTCTGCACTGGAGTGGGAATTGGACAGAAATCACTGGAAGAAACAGTCTGAGATGAACAGAATTCTCTGGAGTGGGAACTGGGCAGAAATCCTCCTGAAATGGTCAGAGATCCTCTTTTAACTTTTCTCTCTTTTCCTGTTAATCATACGCGAACTGGTGAAAATCCAAACTGACCATATAGGCGGCATCCCCATTGTCCTGTGGTGGTCCAGGCCATCATAGTTCCCTTAGCTGATTCACAAATCCTCCTCCATCTCCCCTTGAGACCAGATCCCACCTTTCAGAACCACAGAAAGAAGCAACATCCCTGTGCAGACTCCACCTAACACCCTGGAGGATTCTTCAGTGAGATCCCACACTGTTCTGCCTGGAGGTCTTTGGACATAACTGAGAAACCATACACGAGGTGGTCCTGGTGTACAAATCAATAGGTAAAACTTACACAGGTATAATCCTGCAAATATTAACACATAGCTGGGCCAGAAAAAGAACTAGCTTTTCTAGAAATCTGCATCTGAGCATCTTTGAAATGTAGCTGACACTGACCAGATGCCATTCTAGAGTCAGCCAGGTCAGTAGTTTTCCACTGCTGGTCCGTGAAAGAGACAGGGGCCAGCTGTGATCTCCCTATAGATTCAACACTTCCTCCTCATTGAGGAGGGAGGGGAAGGGAGTGACAGCTCAATAAGGAGCCAGCTGAGAGCTTCCCTGTCCCAGGTCCACCCACTGGGCAGGGCTGAGAAGAGCCCTCCTTTTTCTGTTCTGTTTTTTGCTGGTAAGGGAGATGTTGAGATGTTTGTTGTATTTCATTATTTAACATTATGCATATTATTGTACTAAATAACTTTGTTTTATTCTATATTTCTCTGCTGTTAATAGTCTACTTGAATTTGCACTTGCTATGAGCATCCTACTACAATTTTTGATCTAGTTTTCCTTTAAAAAAAAAAGCAACAACAGATTTCAAACCAGCCTTGAGCTAAATATTACTCTCTAAAATTTCCAGTTGTATTCAGTTACATTTAATTTCAATATTGTAATCTTTTATTAGCATTTTTACTGCTGTATTCCTGTGCACTTTAGAGAATTTTCATTAGGGATTGTTGGTATTATATTTAAAAACTAATAAACAAAAAACTATATTACGTATATAATGCTTTCTATTTTGGCCTTAGTGGTCTCCAAAATACTTTCCTATTTCCACCATTCCCCACCTGTAAAATGTTGTATGCCGCGATTTTACGGACGAGACCAGAGACTTGTTGGAATTATCGAGAGAGGTTTATTTACCTGCAGGGACCACACTCGTTAGAATGCGGTCTCGAGCAGAGGGAAAACATTGTTTTTATACTCTTCTACACTTATGCTTTAATGACAGCGAACAATAGGGGAACAACAGGGGGACAATAGGGGAAAGCACATTTGCACATTTATCATGCTAAAGCAAGCGAGCGAGGGTACAAGGGCGTAACGTCTGCGGTGATGCTGGTAATGCTGGAGCGTAGCCTGCTTTGTCAGCCTTGCGTTGCGTGCACATCCGTGTTTGTGTCCTTGTTCTCACGCGAACTGGACACCCTGACCATGCTTTTTACTCGTGACAAGCCATGCCCTGGCTGCGTGTTTGATCATGAGGGGGGTTACAAAGGTTGAAAACCATTTGGCAGAAAACAGCAGCTTGAACAAAGGGTAATTCACACCAGTCCACCACATCCTCCTCTTGGTCAATGCAATAGCACCCCATCCTGCCTGCTCCTTCAGATCATCTTCTTTGGTATGCAAACTGAACAGATCACACCATTGCAACTTTTTACTTCTTTTTCCTACTGGAAAGTTTCAACGGTGTTATGTATACCCTTTAATGAACAATGTATAAAATGGCCAAGTGCTTCTCAGATGCACCATCTGGCACAATTTGTTAGCAGCTGCTTATGCTTGAGGTTAAATCCTTTAAAAGAAAACCTCCTGTTGTGTATTTTGGGCATCAGCACAACAGGACATGGATTCTTTGGGCAACAATCCTGTGCAGGTGAAATGGAATTCTCACATCTCAACCCATCTCAATGCCCAGAGAGCAGGTACTTCACTTTTCCCCATTCTCTCTTCAAATGAACGCTAAAGGGTGCTATCACATTGAATCCATACAGGAAGTCGCATCCTTGAATTGGGAAGAGGTGACTGAGAGGGCGATTGTGGGCAAGACCTCAGGTCAGAGACGACCTGACGGCAAATAACAATGACAACAAAAGGCGTATTCCTACCTCTCATTTTCAAATAAAGGTAAGGAACAGTGGAAGATTGGTTCTGAAATGAAGCCAGCCATCCCTGCTTTTCCTCCGTCCTCAGTCTGCCCTTGCTGTCCCACCAGCTTCCCCAGCCCTCTCTCAACCTTCCCAACAGCTCAGCACAGTGGTCTCTCCAGACTCCTAACTACTGACTGTTCAATATCTCCTGGCCAATCAAGTTGCCTCTGGAACTCCTGACAGCCAATCGCATCAGGTATCTCACCAGACCAATTGAAACAGCGTTCTCTTCTCACACTCTGAAATGCTGCTGTATCCTATACAACCACTGCTCTTTCAGGCTCCAAGCCAAGCTAGGCCTCAGCCCAACTCACTTATATAATGCCACCTATAGATTTAATGAAAAACATCATAGAGCTCAGACCACGAATGTGAACCTAATCATGCCTCTTTCTTGTTAATGTCCTCCCAAGGATGGCACTTTCGCAGCTAGCAAGTTCTCAGATGTGGCTGCTCTAAACAGTGACATTTTTCCCCCCACTACCCCTTTTAAGGCTTTTCCACTGGAAATTCCTTCCTGCATTCATCTGATTTATTTTCCCATGAAACATGTGCTGTGACCATCCACAATTTACATTGCTAAGTTCAAAATATTCTGATTTTATGTATTTCTTCTTTTAAACCAATTTTATTATTTTATCTATAAATCCAAAACTAAAAACAATTATTCAGGACATTGGATATACTGGGTCGACATCACGCTCTTTTTTATTTTTACATTTAAGAACTATATTCAATTCTATGCATAGTTCCATTTCTCTAACCAATGATAAAAAATATTCCAAGTTCGATAGAAGTACGTATCTTTCTTCTTCAAAGACAAAGACAATCTGTCCATCTCCACACTGTCCAAGATCTTTTTTAAAATCAACTCTTCATTAGGTGACTCTTCGCTTTTCCAATGTTGAGCAAATGCAATCCACTCCACAGTAGTTATATGTAAAATCAAATATATAGTTTATCAAAATTATCAGGAACAACACCTAATAGAAAGAATTCAGGTTTAAATGATAATGTTTTATGCAGCATTTCCTCAAGCCACTTGTGAATTTTAACACTTTTTTTTTTTTTGCCTTAACACATGTCCACCACAAACGATAGAAGGTACCAGGTTTGTGTTTACATTTCCAACATCTATTTGACATATTTGGAAACATTTTTGCTAGTCTATTTGGTGATAGATACCATCTATAAAACATTATATAAAGGTTTTCGTTATATGAAGACGCTAGTGTTGTATTTCTTTTCCACAGCTTTTGCCTTTTTTGTAATTCAATAATATATCCAAAGTTTTGTGCCCATGTTATCATAGTATCTTCAACTCATTCACCTAGCATTTCCATATCTAAAAGAAAATCATACAACCTTTTAATCTTTTTTATCTGATTTTAAAATCATTTGATCAAATGCTATTAGTTCCTCATAAAAACCATACATTCTATAATCTTTAGTATATCTTGATTGTATTTGAATCTTATGCCACCAAGAGAGATCAATGCCATGTTCCTGTAATTCTTGATTCGGCTTCAATTTTCCATCATTATCTTAAATATTGTCATATCGCACAATCTTATTAAAATTCCAAGCATTTGGGTATGTAAGTGCTTCCACAGGGGAGAGCCATCTCAGCAACTTAGTATATAGTTTTATCTTTAGCTTCTTCCAAACCTACATCAATGAATTTCTAAGAAAATGACTTAAAAAGTAACCTTGTGTCTTACATTTCTCACACCAAATATAGG